CACAGGGAGACCTGTAGACCAGGAAGAGGAGGTGTTGGTATTCTGGCTGAGAGAAGTTGATATTCAGAATTAAGGTGACAACAGTAGGAATGGAAAGGAGGGGCTGAAATTAGACTCGACAGAAGGGTGACAGGATCCTTGACAGCTCATCTTCCCACTTATATGCTTCAGGAGACACTTTGCCTACTGGTCAATTTCACTTAGCAGATATTTCTTTTCAATTACCTCAAGGTCATCATGAGCTAATCTTCCTAGTAAATGATGGAATAAACTAAGGCAGAGTAACTTGTACTTCTAAATCTATGCAGGATGAACATTGTTTTTGAAAATTTATTTCCAAATATATTTATACCCCCCCCCCAACTCTCTACTTTCAAAGACAGAGGACTATAGAGTACATTGATTAATGAGCATCAAGCTTATCTGCTATAAAAGTACAGCCATTCTTATAGACATTCAAGATACACACAAAGCTCCAGTCAGAAAATAACACCCAGAAACCATATGGATGCTTTATCTCCATGCCACAAACCACCTGAATTTCCTCTAGGTATTCCAAACATCTTTTAAACCCAGCATTTTCCCTCACCTCAGACCATGCTTATAAAAAGGCAACTTGAGGTATTTTGAGTACAATTTTAGTGCAGGGGAATTGAGTTGCTAGAAAAATATATCTGGAAATTTAACCATAAAGACAAGGCAAAAATACTTCCAGAGGTGGTTTTCATCTGTGGAGTGAGTTCCAGAGAGGTCAAAGGTGAGCAAGCTCACCGGGGTTGGACTAGGGCCAGGGCGCTCTGTGACAACCTCCATGGGAAAACTGGCAGGGACAAAACATGTTTCTGACAGACATGGGAAGTGGGAAGCCGGCCCTGGGTGGGTGCGGGTGGAACCCAGACTTCAGAGAAGGGAAGCATAGAGTGGGCAGTGTACGGGCTGGCAGGGGGCTGGTGAGCAGGCGTCCTAGTGGTTGCCCTGGTCCTTCAGTTTAAGGTTCAGGACCCCACATTTTGTCCCATGCCCATTTACTCTCATTCTCAGATGTGCGAGAACTATTTCCTCTCTATTCTGTTTTAGTTTCTGGCTATTGCTTTTGAATAAAATTGGTCTGCTTAGCTCTGCCATGGGAGTGGGCTGCTAACCTAAAAGGGGAGTATTTCTTGAGGTAAAAGAACCTTAAAGAACCCCGATAAAGCTCAAGGGACTTGAGTAGGAGCTGATGGCTCCCTGAACTCCCCCCACTTGGTGATTCTTCTTCTGTCACAACTTTGGGGGAGCATCACAGCATTATCTGTAGCCATATCATGGGTCTTTCAAATACTCAAAATAGTATATGAAAAAAAACCAGCAGTAGGCAATCTTAGTGAGGCATAAAACTGCATATCATTTTATCAGTGTTTGGCCATTTTAAGAAAAAAACTAATGGGGCTGATCAAAGAACATAGCAGTTTTCTCAATTCTTAAATGTCATAGAGCTAAAAAAAAAAAAAAAAAAAAAAGAAGAAGAAAAACAGGACAAAAAGGGAACACTTGTGGATACTTGTAGTGTCCCCTGGCTCATTTGTAGAAAAATCCAGTTAAGATGTAAATGCCCACAGGCTACAATTTCTGGTCTGAGGTTTTTCATGACACTAATACAATCTCGAGTGTTGTAAAGGTCACAGGTATCGAGGTTTCCCTTGAAGGTCACTCCTGATCACAGCAGCATCTTCATCTTCACTAGGAGACATTCTCTCCAGCCTCCTCCCTGCTGCTCCCCTCTGAGGTGGCAGTTTATCGATGTAGCTGAAAATCAAGCGCAAGGGAGAGAAATAAAGACAAGACAAAACTGGTTAATTATTTCAGAGACAAACAAGATCCCTCATATTGCCACAGAAATTGAGGTGAATCAGGAAATGGATGGCGTTTTTCAGGTCACATGAGTCAGTGCCCCAAAATTCATCATTTTCACCGAATGTTTGATTGGTGTTCTCATATATATATATATTTTTTTTAATGGCAACTCTATTCTTTTAGTTGCTTAGACCTTTTATTTATTTATTTTTTTCCTTTAATAATTTTTAGAGAGAGAGAGGAAGGGGGAGGGATAGAGATAAAGACATTGATGAGAGAGAACATTGATCGGTCGCCTCCTGCATGCCCCTCACTGGGGATTTGCCCACAACCTGGGCATGTGTCCTGACTAGGAATCCAGCCAGTGACCTCCTGGTGCATGGTTCAATGCTCAACCAGTGAACCACATGGCCTGGGCTGGTGTTCTCATTCTTTTACATTGTGTGCATGACTGACATAAAACAGTTTAGGGAGAGCCATAATTTTATTTTTAAAAGAGAACTAAACAGTTTTGTTTTGAAATTATCACCTAGTTCTACCATGTGAAGAGAAGCTTACTGTAGGAAGTTCTTCAGTGAACAAAACTTAAACAAAAACACACCCAGAAATTTCATATGGAACAAGGAAACACCTGTGGCTTCTTTAAAATAATTTTATTGTAGAGAACCTTCTTCTGTGCTGGGCCCTGGGTATTGAATTACATCACTCCTTTCTCTTTCAGTGCTTATAGAGGACACATCTGCCAGCGGGTTTGTTTAAGGTCCAGGTGAAGACAGGGTAGCTCAGGAAAGTTAAGGAACTTGCCCTAAGTCACAAAGTGAAATCACGACCTCAGTTTAGGGCCATTTCACTTTAAGGATGAGCTATTATTTTGTTTCTCATCTGTCCTCATTATTAATTTGTAATGCATTATCACTAAACATACATATTACTGCCTGTGAAATTGACCTCCCTCCCCCACATACACATAAAGTTACACAATTTATTCAGTTAAACGTTATCTTATCAGTCCCCCTGAGTAACCATATAGAAAGCTATTTTCTTCCCACTGCTACGCTCTCTCTATATGCCAAGATTTTTTTAAAGTGTACATGCCTTTAACTATAATGTTGAAAGGCAAGGACAAGGATTAACTACACATCTGGGTTGTAATTTCTGTTTCCCTTTGCCCTGGCAGCTGAAGGCTTCAAAGGTACCCATGCACCCAAGAACTGCAGGGTGCACAGGCTTTCAACCTGTGGGTCGCGACCCATTTGGGGGTGGAAAGACCCTTTCACAGGGATCGGCTAAGACATAACAGTAGCAAAATTACAGTTATTAAGTAGCAACGAAAATAATTTTATGATTGGGGGTCACCACAACATGAGGAACTGTATTAAAGGGTGGCGACATTAGGAAGATTGAGAACCACTGGCAAGAGTAAGGTAATGTTCTCGCTCCTCCTTCTCTCCACCCGGCAAGAGCAGAGCAGCCAGGCTAGACCTAGGCAGCCTCCTCCTCCCAGGGTGCCTCCTCCTCCCGGGATGGCTCCTCCTCCCAGAGCGTCCCTAGGCCTCTGTGCCACGCAGGCAAGAGAATCGGAATGTCAAGAATGGAGCTAGTGCCCTCATGCCAAGCATACAACTCTTAAGCTGTTCAGTAAAGTCCCAGGAGCCAGGCAGCTGCCAGGCACCAGCCAGAGTTCCCCTAACACAGGTGCCCAGCTACTGACATTTCCTCCTGGATGTCTTAAAGGACATCCGAGTGAGGAGTGAGGCCTTGAGTACCCAGGCAGCTGGGCTGAGCTTCCATGGAAACCTTCAGGATTGCTTTCATTTAATTCTTTTAGTAAAAATATTTCTACAAAATAAACAAAAATCAATGTCAATTTGTATTTCTATTCTCCTTCTCTTCGATATGACTGGCTATGACACCTTCCAGCAAGTGGTGAGTTCTTTGTTGCACAGATGAACTCAATGGTACAGTTATGGGCATACTGGCCCATTCCCAGTATTGGGTATCTCAACAACCTGCTCTGGAGCGACATCATATGTCACTAGCTAAGAGAGGACAGCGGTGGGGCGTTCATGCATTTCCTTATGCAAGGGGAACTTTAAAGCCACCCTCGAAAGCCCAGGTGGAGAAAAGTAGGCCCAGAGATATTGTCCCCACCCTCGTTCACAGGAAAAGGGTCACGCGCTGCTCTTCGGAGGTCTGAATAGATGCTTTGCTAAAATGTATCAAATTCTAGGAGTCTTGCAAGGTACTTTACAATTATGAATCTTTTCACTTGAGTACTTGCTCCACAGAGCGGAAAGATACTGCAAAAGTGCAACAAGTAACATGTAGCCCCAGAACTGGACGAGCTCACCTTGTCCATCCGAGAGCTCCTCTCTTAACGCTCAGCATACTACGTGAGGACCCCCTGACCTGCCTCCCTGGTTCTTCCGATTTGTTCCTGTCTCTGAATTCTGCGGAAATCGACCCAAACTAGGCGGGAGGCTCACCCCTAAGTCGCTCCACCAAGAACCAGCTGCGACTCTCTTGGTCTTTAAAGAGTTCCAGTTCAGAGCCCGTAAGAGGTTGTTACACAAAAAGGAAAACAAATCACAAACTCGGGAGTCCCGGAGGACTCGGCAGCCCCTGCCCACCCCCACATCACACGGCCGCAATCGGCCGGGAGACGCACACGTACCTGGAGCCGAGGCCGGGGAAGTGGACGCGCCACGTCTAGGTCTCGGCCCGCGCCGCCTCCAGCCCTTTATACTGCGCTCCCCACCCCACCCCCACCCCCACCCCCACCCCCAAAGTAGCCACGTCCGAGCGGCGGGACAGGGGCGGGGAGCCACTGAAGGTCCGTGAGAGGGAGCGGGGGGAAGGAAGCCCCCAAAAGTCCAGGCTCGGGCGCACTGCACAAGGGAGGCCAAAGTGGGGTTCCTGGGGTGCAGGGGCGCCGCGGGCGCACATGGGGTCCGGTCCCGGGAAGGGGTGGTGTCGGGGGAGGAGCTCTGGGAGGTCAGGCGCGGGTGGAGCACTCGGGTTTCACTAGTGCTGGGAGCGGGAGGAGGAGGCGCGGCGGCGGGGGCGGATCGGGGGCGGGGCGAGGCGGCCCCGCGCTCCTGGCTCGCGCTCCCCGCGCTGTTCTACTCGCCTGGAAGGCGGCGCCGGAGGCGGCTGCTCTCGCTGCGCCGGCTCCTGTGCGCTGCCCTCCCGCCGCGGGTGGGCTCCGCAACCCACGACCAACCGCGGCCCCTGCCGCGGCCCCATTCTCCACCTCTCCTCCGCGGGGAAAGCCCAGTCTTTGTAGCCAATCCCGGGGGCTCCTTTGCGGAGCTGGTTAGGACACCTAACTTTGCCTCCTTGACCGTCGCCCCCGCTGGGAACGAACCTGTTCACTGCCGGGCCCGCCGCGCGCCCGGGGACGGTGAGTCTACCGTTCAAGCCGGCGCCCCAAGCCCGGAGCGCAGCAAGTGGGGTGCGGCTCTGGGGAAGTGGTAGGGGGCGGCGGCGTCATCGGCTGCTGCCTCTACTTTCCTCGTCCGGTGCTGAAGAAGACCCAAAGACCTCTCCGGGGCTCCAGGCGCTGGGTAACTGGCACGAGGAGCGCGCATCGCACCTGGTAAGCGACCCCCTTCACCATCCCCAAGTGACCGTGGCCGCAGCCCCACCGCAGCCCACTTGGCTGCTCGGACCCGGGGTCGGCAGTGGTCGGTGAATGTGTCGTGTAGATCTGGTTAGAGGGTCGACCTGCAGGCCTGAATAGGAGACAGCGGGTGGTGGCGCGTACAGGATTAGGACTACCATCAGTGCGAGGGCTCACACAGTTGAGCTAGTGCACCAGCTGGAAGTTTGTGTCCCTGCCTTTGCCCGAGGCCTGCGCGTGCAGAGGTAAGGAGCAGAAGCGACCGGTCTGTGCGCAAGACGGGACCCCCTACCCAACACCTCAGGAAGGTGCGCAGTGGAAGCCTGTGTCCGCACCTGGAGCATGTGCAGGCTTGTATCGTCTGGAGCGAAGGGCAGGGGTCCCGGTGGCTGAGGCTTGCAGACCCCCGGCTAGGGCAGCTTTTTCTGTTCTAGTTACAGCGGTTTTTAGGCGCGTGAGAAACTGGGAGGCAGTGTGACTTGGGCTCAACTCCGCCAAGAGCTTTGGTTAATGAGTGAGTGAGATGGAAGCTGGGGGCCGCCCTGAACGCTGCGGCCGGGGATGCACAGGCCTGGGGAACCGCCTGCCCGATGGGCTGCAGGCCGGCAAGTCCCTTTCCGCGGGCATCTCTGCGCCCTTACACGATTTCGCATCCTCTGGCTCAGGGTTTCGGGGCTGGAGGCAGATCTGGCCCGGAGGGAACTGGTCCTCCCAAGGTGTGCGAGGAAACCACTGCGGAGGAGTGATGTTCCCGGTATCGCTGCCCGCGGCGCCCGGTGCGGAGCCTAACAGTCGATCCCTATTCCCCGGGCTTTGGCGGGAAGCGCGTTCACCTCCTCGCCCTTTCCTCGCTTTGTACCTGGACGCGGCTGCTCAGAGTTGGGATTTAACTTTCCTGCGCCTGCGGCGTCCCGGGAATCCCCGGAAGGGGGCGCTGAGAGCGAGCGCTGGAAGAGCGAGAGAGGATGCTGAGAAGAGCGACTAGGTTCTGGGTGAGTGGGTGGGGGTCCCAGTCAGCAAACAGCAGGACCAGGAAGATCTTGCAATAGTTTCATAGGGGTGTAGGGTGGCAGCAACTGATCTGTTGACCAGAGGGAGCTGTCAGCGTTGCTAGAAGAAGGGACAGGAAAGGTGGTCGTCAAACACAAGTCCTTTAAATAGAAAAGTTCCTTCCAGAGACAAGCATCACTGCAAACTCTTCCTGTCTGTATCTCTATCTTCCTCTCTGTGACGATTGTCTCTACTCAGAAAAAATTCGAAACTTGGTGAAGGTAATGTAAGTTGTGTTTAATACTGACATAAAGTTCTGCTCCTCAGGAGAACATTCGTTAAAATGCCAGGAGTTACAAATGATTGTTGCAGCTTGTTTTTAAGGAAAACAATTGCATGTCACCCTAAGCTTCCCGAGAAGAGCTCTGTCATCATGATCAGTTTTGGGAACAGCAGATAGTATGCTATTAACTATAGTTAGTCTCTCCTAAGGAGGCACAGAAAGACAAAAACTGATTTTACTAGGGAAGATTTTTAACACCTAATTAGCATTGCTAAATTAATTGTTAATATTTAATTTTTATTATTAAAAAGAGGGGTAAAGTTTATCATGCACTATTTTGAGTGACCAGTTCACAACTTCATTCTAGCAGATATCTTAAATTGTGTAGCACTTAAATAACTTTTCTGGTCTATACTTGTGTTTATCCCAGAGGAAACATGGATTTTTTTTTTTTTTTTATCCCCAAAGATTTTTATTCATGTTTGTTTTTAAGGAAAAAGCAGTCCTCAATGTAACTGTTTGGGTTACTTGAAACACAGATTTTATTTTGCTTGAGTTCCTCTCTTGTAAAAACTTTGTCAGAAAATAGCAGCTCCCCCTGGGTGTCGCATGGTCACATTCATGGAACTGCGGGTGATAAACTAGTACCTGCTTTTACATGCTTTTAGCCTGTACGCACTTTTCTTAACAGGGAGAGGATGGATGATGCTAATCATTTTATGCCTTTTATGAATTGTACTAACTTATTTGATGGTTTTAATGTCAGACGGCTGCGACATCCCTGCTGTGAGCAAAGACTTTAGTCTCTGGGGTGGTCAAATTTGTCTCTGTCTAAGTCATTTTTTGAGATGTTCAGAATTTGGTAATAAATAAGCCTGTGTTCTTCACTGCCCTTTTCTTTAAAAACTATCTCTTCACCATGTCTAGATAGAATGAAACGGGAACGTATAGTGCGATAGCTATGGAGTCCTAATGAATATTCATGTAAACTTTGGCTTAAGCTTGAGAGAGTTCATGGACCTTCTGAAGCCCCATCCATGGCTCTGCAGTAAGAAGTCTTATTTCATAGTCACTTCAGACTCTTAATCTGTGACAAATGTTAAAACCAACAAACGTTTCTCTTCGTTGTATGGTAATTCCTTAAAATAACAGATGCCAGCTCCTGAGACTGTCAGATGCTCCTGATAGTAGAGAGCTGCTTGAACTGAACCGTTTACATAGTTCTTCATTAACTTGGTGATTATTTTTTTAATGATTCCAAATGTCTTTTCTGTTGTTGTTGTAAAGTCATTGAAATTGAGGCTTTGCTTCTGATACACATTCTATCACATAAACAAGTAATCATGAATTCTAGAATTAACTAAGATTAGAAACTAATCCCTAGAGAAGAGGTTTGGATTACAAATCATGGTTTGCAGGATAGAACAAATCAATTAATTAATACTATGTCCCAGGCAAGGAATCCGTTTCTGTAGAAGCATGTGTCTAGTGTAGGAGCGAAGCCCCACACGCTGCGGTAACTCCTCCATAATTCTTGATTCTATAATTATACCAAATTTGTATTTAAAAATGCTTCTGAAATTGTTACTATAGTGACTCAAAGTGCTTAGTGTATAATTATAACACCAAGGTGACAAATTTTTGTTTGGTGTTAAATAATTTTTAAATGTAAATTACAGTGTCTAACAAATTGAGCTACTACACCAGAGTGCAAAGTGTCTAAGTGGGACCTTGTACATTTCCTCCCACCTGCATCTTTTTGCAAATTTAGACAGAGAAAATGAACTTTCTTCTTGAGTCTTAAGAGGAGCATCTATATGTGTTTTAAGTTGTTTATATTATGTCTGTGTATTCTTATTGCTAACACAGACATTTCCACATATGCTCCCAGCATCCTTTTAAAATTGAGACGCAGACGTTTTGTTGAAAATTGCTGTTTTTTTAATCACTCTGCCTGTTGCCTTGTAGAAAGGATCTGCCATAGATAGGGGCAATCTGCTGTCTCTATTTCTTGTACAAATTGGTCGCATCATAAAGATAAATTCACAGGTGAGGAGTAGCTCATCGGGGAGCAGGTTGAAGAAGCACCTTTTCGTATGCTTGATAAATACATCACTTATTTCTTTGATGTGTTCGTCAGGTCCTGGTTATCTGATATATAAAATCAATTTCTAACAGCAAGAAAAGGAGGAAAAAAAGAAAAAGTATGCTAGAATGCACATAGATCAACGTTTCACTTTCAACGAGCCTACCCAAAACTTTTTTTGATTCAGAATTTAAGCCAAACAGAATAAAGCAAATGAAAACTCGATCCAAGAGAAGTTTGCATAGAATAAGTACTTTATTATAATATACTGGAATTGACACAATCATTCTTTGCCATTTGAAGGTTCTGGAGCTAGGGAAACCTGGCTCTGAATTTCAGAGTATTCTGAAGCCAGGCAACTTTAAAGACAAGTTATATTTCACCGGGCGCATGACATTCAAAGCAGGATTAACTCAACAGTGGGCTCAAGAAAACAGAACATTTTCTCAAAGGAGTTGCCGTTGTCTTCTTTTAATCCTTTCTTTTTGTCCAAGATTAATGGCTGTTTGACGAGAGCAAAGATGAGCACACTTTACTTCCCATTTCTACGTTTTAAAGTATATTGGCATTTGGAAAAATATTATTTTATTCTTTGCTCTTTTTTATCTCATACACTAAAATTGGTTTCCTGATTAATATGTTTTACCCCCGCCAGTGTGGCTCAGTGGGTTGAGTGTCGTCCCATGGACTGAGAGGTCTCCGTTCGATTTCTGGACAGGGCATATGCCTGGGTTGCAGGCTCCATCCCCGGTGGGGGGCGTGCAGGAGGCAGCCTATCTATGTTTCTCTCTCACATCAGTGTTTCTATCTCTCTCTCTCCCTTCTTCTTTTCTTTAAATTATCAATAAAAACATATTAAAGAAAAAAGAAAAAAGTATTATATTTTAAAAGAATAAATTTTTTAAGGGGTGAATTTTTTATTTTTGGAAGGCCATGAACTTCCTAATCTTTTATCTTCTCGTCTTTCATTTATTATCTCTCACTGTATCTCCATGGAATTGTCTAGCCTAGCGTAGCATGATGAAGAAGTATACCCTGGAACAATTTTATCTTATGTTGCATTTTTATGTACATTTGAGAGTAGATCACATTACTGTAACAGGTAATTCAATTACAGATATGTATGGTAAGTAACCAGGAGAGTGATGCTATCAGAAACCGACTCTACTGAAGAAATAATACTGTATTTGCTGAGATGTGAAATTAAATAAGTTCTAGGCAAGTGACAGTCAGGATTGAGCAAGGACAAATTGTTCACAGGAAATAGAGCCTCTTTTCAGTCACTTCAAATCCACCTAACAGTTGGCAACGATGGACGAGGTGCCTATGCAAGAAAAGCCGAGCCATGAAAAAGTCATAAGGAAAATTCTGCTGAGCAGTTTTCTGTGAGTTGTCTGTAAAACCAGAAAATGACTAGTGCTTGGCTAAAACTTCCCAGAAGAGATGCGTTCCTCCTAAACCGAGTCCAGATAAAATTTCACACAAAGAACTACACTTCCTGTAAAACAACAACAAAACTAGAGTTGGGCACATTTCGGGGAGGGTTCCCAAGCTGTTCTCAGATAGCCACCGAGGATGGTGGGTGCCCACTGCAGGACTGCTCACGTGTGCTGTGGA